GCTAAAAATATATATAATATAAATATAACACTATTTAGGGAACTTTCTTCTTTGGCGCGTCGCTGTATCGGTGAAACACAACCCCAGAGGGCCACAAATCGAAAGCGAGGAATTTTTCTTTGTATTTTGCATAGTAGTACGCAGGATTTGAAGTTCGTTGACTCCAGACGCTTCAAATGTAAAGAGATCGGATCCTTTATGGGACATCGGCTTTGTTCTTCCACGAAACGTAGGACGTCTTCTCTCGACGTACTTTTGTCCAAACGGGAGATGTAGAGCTGTGTGGTGGGCTCCACAATACGCAGAGTTGTACATTCGTTTATTTTGGCAGTCCCACGCTGGTTACATACAGGTTTCGAAAGACGTCTCCTCTCAACAAGAGTAAATACGTTATTACCTCTCTTGTTTCGGGTTACCATAGGAACCGATTTTATATCCACATTCTTTCCTTTTTGACTGCAAGAGGGTGCCGGTTGTGTAGATTTTCGGGCAACATTCGCAAACGTCCTTCCTTGTTGAGAGCTTGGCTTCGGCGGAGGAGTATTCAAGGGTTCAGTCAAGGGCTGAGGTAGTGACGCAATGACGACCGAGCTCGCCCTAGTTTCATGGTCATCATCCCGCTGACATAAAGTTTCGCGTGACTGAGTCACATCCATTGGTGAAATATGACTACTATTACGGTTACCGCGTGTGTATTTATATTTTGCGACGGCGGTGAATTCGCAGATGTTGCATTTTTGCTGCGCAACGTAGTAACTTCATTCCTTAGCTCTATTGCGGCTCGTTCCGATTCTTCAAATTTGAACGGCGCAGGAGGCAGGCTGTTGAGATCACGCCCGACGAAAGTTGTAGTTTAGTTAGTAACACTCATGATATCATATTTTTGGACCAATAGTACTGTGTAGGATTCCGTCGAACACCAGACTCCATGGCCACATAACTGGTTTTAATGTGCATTAGAAACTCTAAAACACAACGGGATTTCATTCAGCCGTAATACAATTTGGCTAGCCGTAATACAAGACGGCTCTGTTTTGTAAACGGCTAGCCATAATGTAATACGGCAAATCATATAATTAGGCTGGGACATAATACCACCAAACTTTCAGCCATTTTGCACCATCATTTACCACAGTGAAATTTTGGGCAGCTGAAATTAAACGTAGCCGTGAGAGCTTGAGAGACGATGAATGTTTGGGATGTCCAGCAACTACTGCCAATAACATTGCTAAAGTTCACCAAGTGGCTATGAAGATGTTCTATGACGGGTTTGTCATGTATTAAATCAAGATTTATACCTACATGAGAAAAAATGCGTTGGGTGCCGCGTTTGCTCACGTTAGACTATAAACGTGTTCGAATGAACATTTCCAATGCTCTGTTTCCGCAGTTTAGGCGGAATAAATCCAAGTTTTGGATCCGATTAATTACTGTAGATGGAACTTGGATACACCATTATATGCCTGAAGCAAAAATACAGTCAAAACTGTGGACTGCAAAGGGGGAACCGGCTCCAAAAAAGCAAAAAACTATTTTTGCGACTGCGAAAGTGATAACGACTTTTTTGGGATAGTCATGGAGTTATCTTAATCGATTATCTTCAAAAAGGAAAAACTATTACATGAGTATACCACGCATCAGTACTTGCAGAAAAAGAAAATTCTGAAAGCGCGCCGTTTCTCACCTCAGTGGTGGCCATGGTGAATATCTACGAATCACTGTTGGAACTGCTTGACCATCTGCCTTGCTCACCAGATATGGCCCCAAGTGATTTCCTTTTGTTTCCTCATCTAAAAATTGCACTTGGAGGACAGATATTTAGTTAAATGAGTAAGTAATCAACTTTGTGAATAATTATTTTGCAGAGAAAAACGCCGCGTACTATTTGGACGGATTAGAGGGTTGGGAACATCGCTGGGAGAAGTATGTAGAGTTACAAGGAGGCTATGTAGAAAAATAAAAATAATTATAAGAAAAATGTTTTGTATCTTTGTTATGTCTGAAACTTTTCAGACCACCCACGTACATTATTATATATTTCCGTATCATGGTAGCATAATATGAATAGTTATCAGCACCCCTTCTCGCCCATTGCGTGTGTAAGAGCAGAGGCGGTAAAACCATCGACATGACAAACCATGTGAGTCGACTACCGTATCCAATTGCAAATCTAAACCACCCAGGGACTCCCATCCAATCCACTCAAACATACACAAAATATATTTCATCAAAATCGGTCGAGCCATTTGCGAGTTATGGCGAGACTAACGCATGACAACTATTTTATTTATATAGACATAATGTCATATATACGATTACAACAGCTGAACTGGAACTAAAGAGAATTAAGTTTTTAAATATAGGTCAACAACTTCTAGACTTAAAATTTATTCATTACTTTTAAACGTTTAGTACCACGGTCGTCAGACGTAATACACGTAATGTTAAGTTCCTAGTTTCACTGATTAGTCCGACCATTTACAACGGCCGCGATCCTAAAGCGCTCATTGTTTTTCGGACACTCAACGGTGCGTACATGTCGAGAATTAATTTTAGGGCATAATTTTATTAAAGTTCTTGTGAACATCACTTTAATGTTTGCTATTTTGATACTGTAACAAAAAATATTAGTACTAACAGTTACTTAATTTTCATGATTTAGTCTTTGTTTACAATACGTAAGTACGAGGGTGGATTGAAAAGTACTCGGCCTAACCAAGAAAATAAACACATACTAAATCAGTTATATTTTTATTTTTCTACATAATCACCATCAAGTTCAATACACTTTTGCCACCTCCCCTTCCAAGCATTTAGACCGTTGAAAAAAAATGATTCTTCCTTAGAGTCAAAATATGCGTCTACAGCTGCTTTGACCTCGTCGTTTGTCGAAAATATTTGACCTTCCAAGTGCTTTTTTAGGTTAGGGAACAGAAAGAAGTCTGATGGTGCCAGATCAGGTGAATACGGCGGATGCGGTAACAGTTCAAAGCCACAGTTGTGAATTTCAGCCATTGACTGTACTGACGTGTGAACACGGGCGTTATCTTGATGAAACAGGACTTTTCTTCTGAGCATTCCTCGACGTTTTTCTTTTATTTCCTCTCGTAAACGACGTAGTAAGGTGCAGTAGTAATCAGAGTTTATAGTCTGACCCCTTTCAAGATAATCAATCATAATCACACCTTTCGAGTCCCAGAATACTGAAGCCATCACCTTATTTGCCGACAAAATCGACTTAGCCTTTTTTAGGGGGTGGTGAACCAGGTCTTCTCCACTGTTTTGATTGTTGTTTTGTTTCCGGTGTACAGTAATGAACCCATGTTTCATCCATAGTAACAAAACGATTCAAAAAATCATCTGCATCGGCTTCAAATAGCTCCAAACAGTCGCGTGAAATAGTCAATCGCGTCCTTTTTTGTTCAACTGAAAGCAGTCGCGGAACCTACCTCGCAGACACCTTGTGAAAACCCAACTCGTTGACAATGATGTTTTGAGTTCGTTCATAAGAGATGCCTATAATCTCGGCTATCTCTCTAATTTTTAATCTGCGGTCTCCCATTATTAAATCAAGTACTTTTTTTAATATTTTCGTCAGTAGTTGACGTCGAAGGCCTTCTAGAGCGGGGTTCATCTTTCACACTCTCTCTACCACGCTTAAATTCTGCTATCCATTTTTTGACGGATGAATATGACAGAACACAATCGCCTAATGTACTGACCATGTCATCATGGATGGCATTTGATGATAGCCCCTTCTTATGGAGGTTCTTAATGACGGCACGCTGCTCGATTTGCTCCATTCGCGGAAATTATGTCCGATCACTTTGTTAATAAATTTATAAAATCACAACTAATTATCGCACACGTTTCGAACTTCACACAATGAACTAGTCTGAACTGAACTAAATAATGTGGCTAGATTTGATTTTTAGAATTGAATGGATCTGTGTTAGGCCGAGTACTTTTCAATCCACCCTCGTATTTTAACGGTGGATATTTTTTCTATTTTATAACATGTTTTTGGCAATGTTGTTTACTTTTAAGTTTGCTCGAAAGCTTTAATTTTTATATTAGCATATTGTGTCTAAGTAAGTTTATTGTTGTAATATGATATTATAGTTAAAGTAAGATTTTGAACCTACCAACTTTTTATTTCTGTTGACCGGTAGAATTATCTGCTATGTTTGAATACCCTTGATAACCTTTAGTTTAACTCCTTCAGTGTAAAGTTACAGTCTCCTCTTATAATCCTCTCCTCTTATAAGAGAATTTTAGGGAACGGTAGTGTCCATTACCTTAATGCCTTAATGGTGGACTTCACATGTCCTTGAAACATGTTAAGTTTTTAAATTTCTCAGACATGTAGGTTTTCTCACGTTAGCTTTTACCGCCGAACACGAGGTAAATCAGCAGGGATAGAATTCGGGTTACTGGTGAACTACGAAATTATCTAAGAGCGCTTGCCCTCTGAGCTACAAGGGCTCCGATGTAGCCTCAAAACAATAAAAGAGAAAATGTTATAACAACACCTAATTTGTACTCTGTCACAAAACTACTGCTCAATACCTTCCGACAAAGGTGACGGTACTCAGTAATTAGCATACATCAGGCGTGTATATAGAAGGTCGTTTGTTTTGAGCTTGCTGTCTGTATACATAATTATTACTGTATTTTGGGTCAGGTTTTATTTATATTGCCCCCGTGTCTCTCAAACGTCATCCGATCAATTCTTCGATCTTATCGCAGTAGCTTACTTCTCACACGTGAGTGTGAAGACGTGAGGACGTAAGCCTTTATGCAAAGTGAGCAATATCAGCATTTTGATTTATCGTATGCAATTGACAAATTGACAGTGAAAACATCATCATTACCAAGTGTAGATGTGTGGGTAGCAAATATTTTAAAGAAATTTTTGTAAGCATACTATTGTTATTCGTCATAATTTACTAGGCATGCGATACAGGCAATGGAATATTAGTTAATACACAGAATTGATAATGCAGTATCTGCAAATCCGCGTTTATCTAGACGGCTACAATGTTTTAAATAATGTCTATGATAAAGTAAGTAAAATAAAATATAGAAAAGTTAAAGAATTAAAAGTTGACTAATTTCAAACCATGAGGGTGACGAGTTAGCTAAGAATCCACCTGATGGTGAGTAGATACTAAGGTGGCCCATAAACGCTTTAAGACATACATACCTATATCCTCGATTAAAAGTGAAAGTTCGTTGTTACCCTGAGGATTGCAATAGAATGTCTAGTTACCAGCAAAAGACTCGTCAGTCATTACTAATCACATATACAGTACGAAGTATATTATGAGTATGCTGCTATTTGACCTAAGTATTCCGAGCCAGTGTGGTTCTTCCTATGTCATGCCGAACTATTGGTACGGCCGTCATCATAATACCTATAGCTTGAGTGCGGCTCAATCTCGAAAAATTTATATACATGTATAGTGAAATATCACATTTTTAGGATCATATCAGGAAATCAACAGGAAAGATTGCTTGACAAGGGGCAAGAACTTCTAGGCGCCGGCTCCTCCACAAATTTAAAGGTATGTGGAAAATGATATGGTGTGTCTTGAATCAGAAAATCAATCAATTATTTAGTCATGGTGGATTGCCGTCCCATCGGATTATGTGAGTGAGGAAATAGAGAGTGCACAGGTGCTTGCGCACAAACATGTGCACTAAAATCCTGTCCTGGGCCGATGGCCAGTGTCCGTTTAGACACGCTGTCTATTCCGAAATTCTGTTCTGAGGACATTAAAAGATGAAATACTTCATTGATGGATTACCCTGTCTCTTTTAGCTTTCAATTAGATATACTATTTCATGGAGATCGAATTAAGCATAAGAATTGTATCCCATTAAAGAGTCTACTAAAAACAACTCCTGACACTTAATGACTCACGTTGACGAGTTAAGCTGCATGATCATTAATATTCAACCATCCAAAGTGGGAAAATTCTAGTTTCTGTCAAACTATTTTTAATATGATTACAAACAAAACGTAATATGGTATCAACATGGTAACAAAACGTCATATGGTATCGAAGAAACTAAAAGAGTCATAAATGCGGGACACAATAGGAAAAAGAACTTTACATCAATAAGATAGCGTGCAATTTATATTTCTCTAGGTTTTATCAAAAAAAAAAAATACATTATTATTTTTATTAATGTATTAGCCCGCGATTTCGTTCTCATAGAGGAAGTTTAAGTAATTTAATGTTATACTTCTGTATTTAAATCGGATTTTGTTTACAATTTTATGGGATTTTAATTTTTTTACTCGGAACCCTAATTCATTTTCTGAAATAAAAATAGTTCACGTTACTTCTTATACCATCAGCTATCTGCCAGTGAAAGTCAAAATTGGTCCAGCCGTTTCGGAGAATAGCTGGAATAAGCAGACAAACATTTTAATTTTTTTTTCATAGGGTCCGTATATACTTTCATTTGCATTTAGTAAAAAGCTAATAACTTAACATCACCAACACACAGAAATACACTTCAATTTTATTTATTTGTATATAGATGAATGTTCCTATAAACGTAACTCAATATTATTATTGGATAATAATGAAATAAAATAATAATATGATTTCAGCGTTGTAAGTAGTATCTTTTTCGTAAATTTATAAGAAGACAAATGATATATTAAATATGCTTAAAAATTGGTTTGAAACAAACGGAATAATTTTGAATGCAGAAAAAAGTATCATTATATATAGCAAGCAAAAAAACAAATAAAGTCACAAAGAGTGACGTCACATTTTTAGGGTGTACTTTCGATTCCACTTTAAGTTATGAAACCCATATAGATAACGTCTGTAAAAAAGTTAGCCAGTGCTAATTACGCTTTATTGAAGCTTAAGCCCATTATTGACAAGAAAACTCTTATATCCGTCTACTTTGCATATTGTCACTCAATTATTAGCTACGCGATTACGATATGGGGAAATGCTACACAAATTGAAAGAGTACTGATTTGTCAAAAAAGGTCGATTAGAATTATACATGGATTGCAAAGATCGACATCAGCTAGAGCCTATTTCCAAAAAGCAAAAATTATGACTGTCGTTTCGTTATATATTTATAGATCGCTTCTAGAAGTGCACCAGGAAAAAAGTTAACTACCAATGAAGAAGCACGTACACAACTACAATTCTAGAAATCGCGAAAGATTAGTTGTTCCAAGAACTAGATTAGTCAAAGTGTTCAAGCAAGGTTTTGCAATTAAAATTAAAATGTACAATAAATTGCCAATAGAAATAACAAGACTTCCGCTAAATGCGTTCCGACAAGTGATAAAAACATTCTTTTTAAATCACGCTTTTTACAACGTAGAAGAATATATGCATTGTTCATTTTCTGACTTGTTTGACACATAAAATAATGTACTGTAAATGAGATGTATTTTAATTATATTATTGTAATTGTATAATTTGTAATTTTAACTATATTATTGTATCTATATAATTGTAATTGTAATTTTGACGTACCAATGTTACGTAATGTAACGTAATGGCAAATAAATAAATAAATTACCATAAATATTTGTTTCGTTGACTGCTTTCCCTTATTGTCACATCTTTCAAGCGTTTCAGAATCACATCCCGACTCACTAATCTGTAAGTTATTATTAAACTTGCGTTAATATACTAAACTATTATTTTTAAACGTTAACACATACCAAACATTTATACAGTTATAAATACAGCTGCTATACTATACTACGCTGCTATACTATACTATACAGCACTTTAGAGTATCACAGGCATAGATCTAAAAAGATAACGCAAATGTCCAGCCTACTTTATGTGCCTAGCATAAGTTAAATACATTTACATAGTCGCTGCTGTGCTACAATCTGCACCGACCGTTATCATCATAGAATACTATAATACACAATAGAATGGCTGTCAACTTTAATTATTACTTTAGTAAACGTGAATTGACATTTTAGTGGCTACGCGGGCTCCGCCCACTCCCCCGTTCTATTATGTATGTATTATTCTATGGTTATCATAAATAAAATTCAGCCGAATATGACTAGTTTTGCCATTCGAAAAGTCAAGACCTACTGGTTCGCATTCCTCTGGCGGAAAAGAAATGCTAACACCACTATCTTTTAGAAGATTTCAGATATTTTTGGATGTATGTATGTCGCCTCTTGTGACACGGTGATTGATTATCTTATTATGCCACTAAACGGCAAGCTCTCTAGAACGGTTTATAAGTGGTTAAAGGTTAAAGTGAAAAAAGAAAAGAAGATATGCTGAGGCTTTATCCTAACTGGCTATCGATCGCACGATTAAACGATGCGATTTCATCGCACAATGAAAAAGATCGTGCGATAGTCCAACAAGTGTCCTAATAGAACTAGCTAGCGATGACGTTATGTCTCCGTGCCGTCACTGCAACGGCACCTTTTCAACAATAACTATTTACTGAGATGCATAGTTTTTTTACTGTGTTTAGGTCTCTCCTTGTCTCTAACTCGACTCGCCAGTTCCTTTGCATTGTTGCGCTCGCGTGATGACGCCGCGACCAATCAGAACTTTCAAAAGAGATTTGTAGCGTTGATTGCACGATCGGCTGATAATTCGAATCTCTCCTACCCGGGGTACGAACTGGAATACACCTTCGTGCCTCGGTCTGGAGTTTGCGTATACGTCAGAGAGAACATCTATTTTCGACGCCTCAGCAGTCTTGAAGGTTCGGACCTGTTCATCCTTTGGCTACGCGTAGACAGCGACGACCATCCGCGCGTCTACGGGTGCCTCTATAGGTCCCATAGCGGTAATGCTGAAACAGATCAACTCTTCTACCACGTCAAATAGCTACAGATTCATTCCTACAGCAAATGCCCTCCGCAGAGATCGTGATCCTCGGTGATTTTAACGCACACCTCGCCGAATGGTTTGGTTCATGTTTAACAGATCATGCGGGGAGATCTGTTCATGATTTTGCATTGGCATATGGTCTGACACAACTGGTTACTTCGCCTACGTGGATTCCAGATGTGGAAGATCATGCACTTTCCCTGTTGGACCTTCTGGTGATCTCTTGTCCGGATTAATATGAGGTCTCCGTTAATGCCCCTCTTGGCTCCTCGAATTATTGTCTTGTCCGGAGTGTGGTGCCGCTCACGCTGAAATCGAGGTTGCATTCTGCCAGTTGCCGCCGTGTTTGGCACTATGGGTCTTTCTTTGCATCCAACCGTTGGCGTGAGGGTTTGCTTACCGCTGGACAATCCCAACGTTTTGGCACAAAGCGCTTCTTTCGAAGCTCTCTTCCTATGGGCTTCCCGAGAAATTGTGCAATTGGATCACCAGCTTTCTTGCAGATTGTAGCATCAAGGTCGTTGTAGACAGTGCATGCTCCGATTACAAGCTTGTTAGTGCTTGCGTTCCACAAGGTTGCATGCTATCATCAACGCCTTTTCTTCTGCATATCAATGATATGTTGCAAATCAGTAACATTCATTGCTATCCAGACGACAGCACTGGTGATGCTCTGTACACCGACCGTGCCAATATTTCTCGGGTAAACATCTCTGAGTAGCAGGACAAGCTTGTGTCTGAAGTCAGGTCTTTGCTAAACAAAGTCTCTGATCGGGGGCGACTAAATTTAGTCCAGTTTAACCTTCCGAAGACACAAGTTAACCGCTAAAAAGAACCCCTTTGTCGTATCTCCTCAGTTTCAAGGCACCCCCCTTGTTGCCTCAGCCAGTATCGGAATCCTTGGCGTCGACATATCGAGTGACGTGCAGTTTCGTGGTCACTTGGAAGAGAAGGCCAAATTGACCTCTAAAAAGCTTGGCGTGCTCAGCAGAGCAAGACAGTATTTCATGCGGGCATACCGCCTGCAACTTTACAAGGCGCAGGTTCGGCCTTACACGGAATACTGTTCCCATCTCAGGGCTGGGACTCTCCAGTGCCAGCTCCTTCCATTTGACCGCATCCAGCGCAGAGCGGCTCGAATCGTCAACGATCGAGTGCTTTCCGATCGTCTCGATTCACTGGCGCTGCGAAGAGGTCTCTTTGCGTATTTTATCGCATCTATCACGGGGAGTACTCTGAGGAATTATTCGGATTATTCGCAGCCGCCAAATTTTATGAACGCTCTACGCGGCAAGCCTCCCGATACCATCCACACCTTGCTTGCTTGACGGTCCACTTGGTGACGGTGGACTTGGATGCTTGGCGGTCCACCACTGTACGTTTCACTAGGAGTTTTCTTCCCACAACCTCTCTGTGGAACAGTTTACAACCGGCGATTTTTCCGGACTGATACGACTTAGAGACCTTCAAGAAAAGAGCTTACTCCTTTCTAAAAGCCCGGCAACTCATCTTCAATTCCCCTGGGGTTGCAGTTGTTCATGGGCGGCGGTAGTTCGTCTCTGTTTCTGTTTCTGGTATGGATGGTATCTCGAGTTTTTTCACGATGTGCTGTGGTGAAGTTGAGCGGCTGGACTTCCGAACAATTCCTCTGAGCACTTCACGTGGTAGATCCGATAGAATAACTCTTTCAAGCCTACATATTAATTATCAGAGTATTAAAAGTACCTTTGCCCAGGTGCACTTTACAGAATTAGTAAAAGTATATGGCATAGATAATTTAATTATTAATTTAATAAAAAGTATATGGCATAGATAATTAAATTATTTAATATAGCTAAGTTTTCCGAAAAAAAAATTAAATGAGATTAAAAGTAACGAAATTCAGAACACGTGCGCTCTTAATCACGTTACAATTAAAAGTTAAGTTTCAACTTATATATACTTCCCACTAGGCACGGGTCTCCTCTCGTTTCTAAGAGGGTTTTAGGGAAAGGAAGTGTCCGCCGCGCTTCCCCAATGCGTGATGGCGAACTTACATGTCTTCAAATTTTTTTCTTATTTCTTAAACATGCCGGTTTCTTCACTTTCCATTTTGACAGCCTTGACTTTTAATCGGCCGCTAGATAGTAAAAAGCCAATGAAATATCAACAAATTTGAAAAATATCTGTACCATATGTTTCTTTCTTCGTTCACTTTTCCTTCCGGTGTAAATGTAAAAAAAAGTGTAATCTGGTATATCATAAGCTCGAATTTAGTCTACATAATTAATTACACTTAGAACTTCATCTCTTGTTTTTTCACCCCTATGGGTGAAATTTCTTCTTCAAACAAGCCAAATAGGACCACACCTGAAGTACACCATTAAATAAGAAAAAATCAATAAAAGCGGCCCGTACACAAAAAATAACATACGGAGGATTAAGGACTTCCTGCATTTTTGAGTGACATAAAATTAATAAGATACTGATAATCGAAAGATCGTGTTATGCCTTGAAGTACGCTTGCCAAGTTTAACTTTGCTTAATCTTTTTGCTGTTTATTTTTTAATTATAAGCTAGCGCTCTATTACAATCCCAGCTGGGAATCGTAATAGTAATGGTCTCAATCTTGTGATGCTGTAAATAGTAAATCACAACGACAAATGACTTTCTGGTGTGATTGTTTGTAAATAAGGCATTAATTTTATAGGATTTTGTAAAGAGTCTACAAGAGGACACCGATCAACACTCTATATTGTGGAAACTTGTTCACTGTATCAGTTCATCAATTGGCGCGGATGCGTACAGAGTGTTTAAAATTTTTCCAGATCAATCTAACTTTGTGCAATACTTCACCACAGAAACAAATGAAGTAAGTATTTTTGATTTAAATCTCTTTATTTATAATTTGAAAATATTTACCAGTTTTATGAGTTTCAATTTAACAAACACCAGTCTCTACAACAAATTCCACTACTAGAATATAGACACCTCTCAGAGATTCATTTGTATGCTATTGACTTAGTTCGGTAGCCTCTAATGTTTATGTATCATTTTACAGTCCATTGTTGGACATAGGCTAAGAATGCGCCGGCTGTATTGGTTTCCTCAGAAGATATACTGATACTTAGTATACTGATTAATTGTTAACTTAAAAAAATGTTAGTACGGAGCATCACGGCATATATGGGTTGGTGAGGTAGAGCTGACATCCTGTCACTGGTAAACAGTCAACCCACAATCAATCTGTACAATTTGAATTAAATTGCTTTTCCGCTATCAGTGTTTGATACCTGGTTTGGATCACATGATACATCGCAAATAATTAACCCAACTATTCCAATTGGTAACAAATGGATCTTTTTGGTTTTAGAAACTGTTTAATCCAACACGTTTGGTTCGGACATATTCTAAACAAGTTATTCTGGTGCCCGAAGCGGCGAAGAGAGCCACTCCATGGCGCATATCCCGAGACGATTTTCCAGTAAACTTTCCCGAGACACCAAATTCATTGTTAAAAGTGTTTGGAATTGATAGTGAGGTAAGGGGTTTAAAGTCCCAGTAAATAAAATTCTGACTTTTCATTATGTAACATTCTATATTACGTGAACAAAGAAATATAAAATAATTTTTATTATTAAAACTTTTAAAAATAATAATTGAAAACTTTCTTTAATTTACTATATTTTCTCCATTTTGTCCACGGTCCACCTGTAGGTAAGTGGTTGCTGCGGCCCATGGACGTCAACATCTATCCCCGATTACAAATCAAAATGCAGATGTGTTGTCACCCGCGAGGACTAAAATGGAATGCCTGGTTTCCAGCAAAAAGTTTCTCCCGTTCTCCGGTTCTCTACACTCACCATACAAAACACAGCAGCATTAAGCTACTACTTTACGCTGGTCTTCTGTAAGAGCGTAGTCCTTCCCCAGTCGAGCCGACCCATTCAGGCTACAACTATACTACTAATATAACTGCGGCATGAATCTACCACGTATAGCAAATTGCTAAAATGAATAACAAAATCTACAGATTTGTTGAGGTATAAAAATAAAGTTTTAATGTTTTAATGTACTCTTGTCGTTAATATTGACATTTACGCCGTAATCCATATATTTTTCAGAAAGATGCAAATTATATACTATACCTACCAATTTTAACTGCAACCGAAAAAACAGCGTATATGATAGAAATGTGGCGTGTGGATAAAATTTTCACCGACAAAGACGAAGAGATTTGTTCAAATTTCCTCGTATGGGGAAGTTTGGCGTTACATTACTGCAATTTGTATCTAGACAAAAAACGAGAACAAAGCATGTCTGATTTTCTTCTGGATGTTGTAAAGTAATTACTTTATAATTTATTTTTACAATAAGTATCGCGAAAGGACAATTTTAATTATGTGAACGAACATTTCAAAGCTAGGAGACTTTACTAAGAATTCTTTATACAAAAATATTAAAATTAATGAAATGGAACATTTTGTGACCTAACTTACAAAATTCGTATAATATATATATAAACACTCACGCCTGTCACCCAGAGGGGTAGGCAGAGATTACGGACTTCCATTTGGCACGATCCTGACATACCTCTTTCGCCTCCTTTACATCCATATATCTACGCATACATGCTCGTCGGTTAAGGGTACTTCTAACGTGGCCCATTTGCAAAATATCGCCAATTTGGTCGACAAACTTTTTTCTAGGGCGTCCCTTCCCGACTCGGCCGTTCACATCTGCCATATAAATTTGCTTTGTCACTCTTTCATCATTCATTCTTTCTACGTGACCAAACCACCGAAGCATTCCTTTCTTAATCCTGGTCACAACATCATCTTGCATACCACATTTATCTCTTATCACGCAATTTCTCACCCTGTCATTCAGATTAAACCCTAGCATATTTCTTAAAGAACGCATTTCTACAGCATTTATTCTACTTTCGTGCTTCTTCTGCCACACCCAGCTTTCACTACCATACATTAACGTAGGGACTAACACAGCATTATGAATTACCATACGTGCCTGTTTTGACACATTCTGGTTCTTCATAATAGAGTGTAGTGCCCCATTCACTCTATTCCCTGCATTTACTCGTCGTTCTATATCCCTATCATATCTACCATCCCTGCTAAATACACATCCCAAATACACAAACTCATCCACTTGCTCAATTAACTCTCCTTCTATTCTTATTTCACATACCGTTTTGCTTTCTTCTCTTTCAAAAACCATCACTTTCGTCTTACTTGCGTTCACTTTCATTCCCCTTTCTTTTAATTCCCAGTTCATTAATGTAACCATCATTTGCAACTCAGCCGCTGATGACGCAAATATGACTTGATCATCGGCATACAAAAGGCATTTGACGGTTAACTCGCCCATTCTTAAACCACATTCTTCATCTTTCAAAGTTTGCAAACACCGGTCCATAAATAGGTTGAACAGCCAAGGGGAAGCTACACAGCCCTGTCTGACACCTTTTTGGATGCCAAACCAGTCCGAGTAGACCCCATTGATCCTGACACAAGCACTAGAGTCCCTATAAAGAGACCCTAATGCCTGTATCAAACCAGCGCTCAACCCATATGAGTTCAGTGTTTGCCATAACACATTCCTGTCCACTCTGTCATAAGCCTTTTCCAAGTCCATGAACGCACAAAAAACTTTCTGGTTTTTGGCCAAAAACTTCTCCGCAATCATGCGCATGGAAAAGACTTGATCTGTGCACCCCATTCCCTTTCTAAAACCCGCTTGCACATCCCAAATTTTTCCATCAGTTTCTTTCATAACTCTTTCAATTAACACCTTAGCATACAGTTACCCACAATACTAAGCAAGCTGATACCGCGGTAGTTTTTGCAGTCCTGCTGTGACCCTTTTCCTTTATATATTGGTACTATAACTGCTTTACACCAGTCATCCGGTACCCGTTTTAATTCCCAACATAAATTAAACAAGGTGTACAGCAGGCCTGCCACCACTCCCTCTCCAGCCCTTAGCATCTCGAGTGATACTCTATCATATCCAGCTGCCTTACCTGCTTTCATGCTTTTCATTGCTTTCATTATTTCATCTACACTTATCTCCATACCCCTTTCCACTTCTTTCGGAATTTCTAGTTCATTTAATTCATACGACTCTTCACTCATAAGCACGCTTTCAAAGTATTCCTTCCATCTGTTTAAATTCGAAACTTCATCATTCAGAATACATCCATTCTCGTCTCTTATAGCATTTATTATAGGCTGTTTTGTATTTCCCCTGGCAGTTCTTACGAGTTTCCAGAACATTTTTATGTTAGCCTGGAAATTATCAGATATCCTTCTATCATTCTTATCCATTCTTTCTTTCTTTTTCCTTTCAACAACTTCTTTTACTCTCTTATTTAGACGTCTAAATTCTGCCTTTTTTCTTTCAATCTCATCATTCATACCAGAAGAATTACCAGCTTTGGTTGCTAGTAAATCTAACCATGCTTTCTTCTTTGATTCAACTTCCACCCGTACCTCATCATCCCACACAACGTATTACTTTTCCTTTCATTTGTTCTTTTACTTACACCACATACTTCGGTGGCGGTATCCACCAAACCTTTCTTAATATTATCCCACACAGTCTTCAATTCTAAATCATTCATACTCAACTCATTCAAACATCTAATATTTTCTCTCAGTCTACATTTATACTTCTCTTTCACATCTTCATCTTGTAACTTCTCTATTCTTATACGCTGTAACGCAGTGGTAGACACAGATGTCCGATGCCGCCAACGCTTGAAAAGACCATTAATTCGACATAAGACCAAGTAATGATCCGTCCCTACGTTGGACCCCCGGTAAACCCTTGTATCTACGACTGCGCTCCTCATTCTTTCATCCACAATTACGAAATCTATCATGCTTCTATCATCACCTCTTTCCCATGTATACATGTGAATCTTCTTATGACGAAAAAAAGTATTCGTCACAAAAAGATTCTTTTCCGCACATACGGTGAGGAGGTCTTCACCATTCTCATTTATACTTTCATCACCAAACGTTCCCAATATCCTTTCATAACCAGACCTCTTCACCCCAACCCTTCCATTAAAGTCTCCTAACATAATAATATTTTCATTTTCCTTACATTTTGTCAACACCATCCTTACCATGTCCCAAAACTGCTCTCGAATGTAAGCGGGCTTAGACATGTCTGGGGCGTACACCCCTAGCAGGAACAGCTTCTTTAAGCCCACTTTCATTCGTATCCATAGCAGTCTCGGGCTTACACATTCATACTCTTTCACACATTGACCCATTCTTTCTGAAAGGATGAAACCGACTCCCTGGCACGCCCGTTCGGTCTCGCCTACACCAGACCAATACGCGGTATACGTGCCATGTGCAGTGGCATCCTTTCCCTTTCGTTTCGTCTCATTCACACATAACACATCTATTCCTCTGTCATTCATCATTTTGCATACTTCATCCATCTTATCATTCATTCCTCCACATACATTCAGCGTAGCCAGACGGGTTTCCGCAATCCACTTTTCGCCCCTCCGGGAGACAGAACGTGACGGGTGGCGAACCTCGTCGCCGGTTTTTCTCCCGGAGATTCTTCGCACCCCTGCCCCATTTAAGGGGCGCCGGGAACTCGGGGCCATTTCTTTTATTTCCTGAGTCATTCGAACAAGGGGTGGTGGTAGATTTTACGCCGCTACCATACGGCGAGGAGCCGAGTCTATTTTTTCGGCTTTGTCGCTCGTTTAGCACCACCCGGGGGACACGTGTAGGGTGGGCCTAAGGTTAGGTGGTCGGAGCCTACGGACGCGAGCGACTCATCCCCCATCCATCCATCCATCGTATAATAGTACTCATATAAACTTTTTAATACTCACTTTGGCTTATTTCATAGAAAATATATCTGAGAAAGAAGCCAGATATATAGCCAGCCAGAATAAACATAGTCTGTCTATATTTTGTAATGTTAGTGCTGTTAGCCTTTTCACTTTTATAGCTTTATCCGACTCATAGTGTTATAAGAAATGACCCAGGGAGAAGCAGAAAAAATGTCTTATTTTGAAATTTGTTGGCGAAATAACTATCCTTAAAACTACAATACCTAAATTACTTCTAAAAGCATAAAGGTTTCTAAAAGTTTAAGCTAAATTTTAGAAACATTGACACAAGTACTGCCATTTCACTTATTATAAAATCGATTGTTATTTCTGGAACTTTTTCGTATATATATTCATTTATACACATTATTTACGTTTAATACTCATTTATATATTTAATGACTGCCTCGTTGGTCTAGCGTTTGTAGTAGTGCGACTGCTGATCATGAGGTTCTGGGTTCGAATCCCGGGTCGGGCCAATAAATTAATTACTGAGTTTTTCCGTTAAGAAATTCTCAGTAGTTGCCCGGAGTCAGGAAGTTGTCGGTGTCCTACCCCCGTGCCTCGGAAAGCACGTAAAGCCGTTGGTCCTGCGCTTGATCTCTCCGGTTGTGTCGGTTTACCGTCCCATTGGATTATGAGAGTGAGGGAATAGAGAGTGCACCTGTGCTTGCGCATACATTTGGGCACTATAATGTTGTCCTGCGCCGATGGCTAGCCTCCGTTGAGGCAGACCGCCATTGCCGAAATTCGGTCTGGACGACATTATTATTATTATATACTTAGTGTAATATTATATAGCATTATGAAGATGAACACAACATTTACTTACTTATATATCTTTATTTTTGTTTTAGAGCTGTTTTTGAAGAAATGGTTTCATTAGATCAATTAATTAAGAGAATTCTCGAACTTGCTCAGAGGCTTGTGAATGCTGATAGAGCATCTCTCTTCCTTGTAGATTACAAAAATTATGAGCTAGTGTCGACCGTATTTGATTTAAAATTTGAACCTGGGCAAAGTCGAAATATGGAAAAGAAAGAAATTCGCATGCCCACGAATAGAGGAATTGCTGGACATGTTGCTTTGTCTGGAGAAACAATGAATATTCCAGACGCATATTCTGATTATAGATTCAACAGGTTGTATATTCTATCATTTTCATTTACTTATATAAAAAATACATCTAAATTTAGATTTATCGAGATTTTTGTGTTTGTATTTCTTCAACAGGTTGTTAAATTTAATGTATTATTTCTTGACTTACAAAATTTTAACGATATTTTTTTTATAGAATAAGGGTCACAAGCGAGCAAACAGTTAACCTGATGGTAAATGGTTGCTATGGCCCATAGACATCTACATTTATCCTAGATTAAGAATCAAAACGCAGATGCGTTGTTACCCCTGTGTATTAAGATGGAATGCCTCGTTTCCAGTGACAAAGGCTCTCTACACTCACCATACGAAACACAGCAGTATTAAGGTGCTATTTTACGCTGGTATGCTATGAGAGCGTGGTCCTTCTCCAGTCCTCCACGTATAAATTTCCAGTAATCTTGATTTACAATAATAAACAATAAATTCGTAAAGTTAAAAACCATGTTTTAATTTTAGAGAAGTTGACGAAGCTACTGGCTACAAGACAATAAGTATATTAGGTATGCCGATAAAAGTACAAGGTAAAGTTATTGGTGTAGTACAGATGGTGAATAAAAGAAACCATGACAATTTTGATCGCGACGATGAAGTGACTTTTGAAATATTCTCAACATTTTTTGGGTTAGCGTTACATCACGCACGTTTATATGACCGGATTATGCGGAAGGAGCAAAAGTACAGAGTGGCTCTAGAAGTCTTGAGTTATCATAACACATGCAAGGAGAATGAAGTGCAAGCTGTCTTTCGAGATAATAGAGAATTAAATACAAACTTTAATGATTTTTATCTAGATCCATATCGGTTAAGTGAGTTTGAAAAATGTAAAGCTGTTATAACCATGTTTGATGATCTTTTTGATTTATCTAAATTTAATATAATGACCGTGATACGATTCGTTTTGACATTCAAAAAAAAACTATAGAAGAGTACCCTATCACAATTTTGACCATGGTTGGTCTGTCGCACATGCAATGTATGTAATTTTAAAAAACGATCGAAAGAAAGGATTTGATTACAAAACGGTATGTATAAATCGTAACTTCGTCAGAATTACTATAATATGTAAGTGGTTGCGAATTGCGGTTTTTCATTGGAAAGGGGTTTAAGGATAATAATTTTTTTTATTTTTTTTTTTACTATTTTTGAACTCATTCATCGTTTCAAAAATAGCTGGAAAAGGTTTAAGGTTTTAAAAAAAAAAACTAATATTTGAAATAACATGAATATATTCTCAATATTCGATTGCATTTGAATATATGAATAAATATTATCAATATTTCCTATTAAAAAAACTTATCGACATAATAATAATAATGTCCTTCAGACCGAATTTCGGTCACAGCGGTCAGTCTCTACGGAGTCTGGCCATCTGCGTAGGACAGGATCGTACAGTATGATATGTTAAATTTCTTGATAGAAGAACTAAATAACTGATTTTTGCAAGACCCGGGATTCGAACCCTGGACCTCGTGATCAGCAATCATCCTGACTTAGATAAAACTACCAATTAAGTGACGTACATTAGGATAAGCGATATCTTACAATAGCAGAGATAAATTAAGATTTATTTAACTTACTTAAATATTTTTACAGAGATTAGCACTATTTGTGGCATGTCTGTGTCACGATTTAGATCATCGTGGCTATACAAATAAGTATACGAGTGAGACTGCATCTCCCTTAGCTGCCATGTATACAACGTCTACCTTGGAACACCATCACTTTAATATAACTGTAACGATTTTACAACAGGTAAGACTTCTTAAAGCTTTATAAGTAATATCGTATCTCATAATACTCGATGCTGATTTACTGGTAAATATTGACGATTCCCATCATCGAGACAATTCCTTCCTGCCCAACTCTAACAGCTAAGATTAATAATGAACAGAGCTTTAGTAGGTGGATACCTTTTTCCGTCATCGCCGGATAATTTGTAAGTGTGAACAAAATATAAGGAATTAAGACAAAGTGATATAGCTTATTTTGTTCAAAGGTGTTATTGTGCACGGTTAAGGAGCACGTCACCTTGACTAAAAATATTTTTTCTTACAGGGCGGGCACAACATATTTTCTCATTTAACTGGTGTTGAATATAAAGAAGTTTTGGGTTTTATAAAACATTGTATATTGGCTACAGATTTGGCGGCGTTTTTCCCTAATTTGGAAAAATTAAAAGAAATTTATGAAGGTGATCCAAAGCATTATAGGTTCAACTGGAGTACTCCTAGTCATCGGTATATTGTACACTTTTTTATAATATTTCAATCATTTCCGATGAAGGTTAAGGGGCTAAACTTTCACCGTAAATTTTATATGACTCGAGCAACCCGTTTCCCCCGAGAAAACCTGTCTGTTAGAAAAAGCAAATATTTCGAGGAAATGTGAAGTTTGTGCGCTAACTGTGAAACTAGAGCAGTGAAGTGGACTAACTGCTTCATAACTTTCTTAGAAATAGGAAAAGACTTGTATCCGGCAATGGGACGGACTTAGGCTGTAGCTTTACTTTCTTGTCTGTTTGATTAAAAATTCATTTAATTTTGTAGATATCATAACTGTCTTCTATGTCTGCTGTAAAACTAACGCGAAGCTGTTCTTTATGACTGAATAATGTTTTTATTGCTGGTGCTCTTTCGATGTAGCGAATAGTGAAATGTATCTATATGTGTGTATTACGTTTCCGAATATAAATATAATAATATACACTCTGTTTTTCAGAAACCTAGCAATGGCCACCAAAAAATTTTTAAAAAAAGAATTTGTTTTTTTTTCTTATACCTTCAGAATGTTACCAAATACTAAGCCATTTTATACAATGGTTTTAAGAAATCTTAATAAATGGAAAACTAAAGCAGATCGTATACTTAAGAAACAGGGAAAAAATTTGGAAAAAGAAATACACCAATTGGATATAAAAGAAGTCACTTCAGATTCTGAGACAGATGAATACAATGATACCGAAGAAAGTACTGATGAAGAGTTGAAAGAAAAAGATTCTCTAGAACCTGTTGTCAGTGATAAATCTGACAGTGCAGATGTTAAAACAATCAGAGACGGAGCCATAGAGGATAAAAGTAATTGCAAATAAAAACCTTGGAGAAATGTTAAGCTGGATATTGTATCATGGGAAGAAACAGAGGAAGTCGAAGAATAATCGAAATATCGTGGAATATGGAAAAATATTGTTGAATTTTTGGGTAGAGGAAGATAATATTATATCGAGAGCAATAAATCCTGTAAAAGTTATAAAAAAAGTGATGATGAAACTAACGATTGAAGAAATAAAATAATTAAGCCATAAAAATAAGGAACGATAAATATAGTTGTAAAAAATAAAAAAACAGCTTAAAATAGTATCTTAATGCTGCAGTGTTTCGAATAGTGAGTGTAAAAAACTAGGAGATCCTTTTTACTGGAAATGGTTAACCGATACTTAAAACTCCTTCTCAGAAGAATTACGTCTTTCATGGTGGTGCTCGCCGGAGACGTAGAGCTAAATGTAGTTGTTTTATTTCTCAATAAAAGTAATAAAATCCTATTAAAGAATTAAAGACCGATTCAGAGCTGTGTTTTCGAGACTCACTATAAATCGTCTCGCACGCAGTCTCGGCAACTTGTAGCCTCCCGAACAAGCTGGTTTCTGAAAAGACTTTAGTACCATAGATTACATACATATGCTTCCGTCTTATAAGAATGTCCGCCGGACTTAATTTTGGTCATGGGTGAATGCTAACAACTAAAAATTAGCAATCTGTGCTGAACTAGATTATAATACCTGAGCGTATGCACAAACACAGTTGCATTCTCTATTTCCTCACTCTAAAAACAGTAATCCAGCACGATCGACCTGGTAATCGAACCAGGGACCTGACCTGATCAGTAATCGCGTTTACGATAACGTAGAGTACTCTTATTTATACTAATAAGTAAGAGTACAGAACAAGAGCACGAAACCTATACAATGAGGGCTAATATTATTTCACTCACCAGATATCGCTACTTGACAGTGAAGTAAAGTTTTGTTACGCAATATCATTTGATTGAGAAGTGAGTTTTCAATAAAAGTTTATCCGTTTCTAGAGAATTGTTACGAGCTTGGGGTTCGCTAGAAACTGCAGATTGTATTACCAAAATAAACACTTTAATTACTGGTAATAACAGGTGGTAATTCGCCATGTACCAGGCATTAATTATGGCGCGCAACAGTATTAAATTAATACACAAAACACTGACTAGTGGTTTGCTCTTTAATTTTTTGCACATTTAATCTCTTTTTTTAATTTTTGTACTTTCATAAATGTCAGAGGTTTGGTTTATTTATTTTTATTCTAAACTTTACATCATATAACTAATAGATAGTATAGATATAAACATTAACCTTTACATATTTCGTACAAATGTAAATGTAAAGGTTAATGTTTAATTTAATGAACTTCACCACTATGAAATCTGTCAAATATTATACCTTATTTTTAAGTGACGCCACTCTTGTGGCAGAAAAAGTCGTGGATATCCTCATTACAGAGGAGTGTAAAAAAGGGTGATAATATATCGCCGAGCCTCTTCACCGCTGCATTTAAAGACGTTTTCAAGCTATTGGACTGGAATAGATAGGGTTTCTTTAATGGCGAATACGTCACTTACCTTCGGTTTGTCGTCGATTTAGTCATTATGGTGGAATCCCCGAAGGACCTTAGCACCATAATTAAAGACCTCAGTAGCGTTTACTTAAGAGTAGGTCTTAAGATGAACATGGACAGGAACCGGTAGTTGTTGGGAACGCTACGCTCGATTTTCCATGCAGTGAAGTTTCAGTCCCTAGAAGATATTAGGTAGTAGGATACTTTTTTTATTACCTATTTCTGCCACATAGCAGTAATGGTATTGCTGTGTTCTGGTCTGTAGGGTGAAGAGAGCCAGTATAATAACGGACTGTGAGTTCCATCGTAGTCCTCAGGGTTTGCAATGTTCACATTTGTATGAAATAGACTGTAGGTGTTCATGGACTGCTGTAGTCACCTACTATCAGTTGGCCAGTAAGCCCATTTTTCACTACACACACAAAAAAGGAGAAATGGTCGATTTAAATGACAACATGTGATTCTCGAGTAAGTGTAATTATGAACAGATAGAAAGAAGGACGTTGCTATTTTATAATATGTAAGAATAATAAATTTCCAAGTTCTTGCGTGGGATTCTACGTGCCTAGCCACTTTGACGACCTTTCACTCCAGTAGTACTACGTTTAAAGTCGCGGAGCCATTAAAAGTGGCTGTACTGTTAAATGGCGCGATATGAGTCTCAGAGAGATGGCTACATATTTGTGAAATTAGCTTTAGAAACTACCGGTCCGTAGGTCCACGTGTGGTAAAGTTGGTAGAGGTACTGCGTCCGCGACTTGGCGTTGCCGCTAGTGATAAGAAGATTGGTTCCTTTCTCGCTCAAAGCCATTCAGAAAGGAAATGCAGCCAGCGTTTTTGATATTGTACCTACTGCGGATAATAAGACTGTATAATAAGTTGTAGTTTTTTATGATGATAATAAATATTTCATATTCAGGGTGTTGGTAATAGTTGGTGTCTCTTTTAGGGTTAAGGTAACCAGTATTACCAGGGTAAACCAGTATTAAGGTAACAGATTCTAAATTACCACAGTTCTACGAAATTAAATGTCAAAATGAAGCAAGTGATTATATTTTCTTCGCCTCTGCTAATTACGTTTTCTTATAGATTTACTAGCTGTTTTCCGCGACTTCACCCGCGTGGAATTTAATACGAATTTATTGCGTGGAACCCTGTATCTTTTTCTAAAATAAAATTAGCCTAAGATACTCCTTATAACATCAGCTATCTGCCAGTGAGGGTCCCATCAAAATCGATCCAGCTACTTCTCAGATTAGCACGAATAAATAAGCAGATAGACAGACAGATAGATAAACATTTTTAAAATATTTATTATTGTTTTATGTACCGTATTTAGTAAAAAGCTGTTTGATATTTGTTTGACATTACAAACATTTTAAGTGGTAGAGCCATGCTGCAGTTATATTAATAGTAGGTATAGCTGTAGCACGATTGGGTCGGCTCACACCACGCTCTCACAGAATACCAGCGTCAAATAGTAGCTTAATGCTGCTGTGTTTCGTATGGTGAGTGTAGAGAACCGGAGACGCTTTTTATTGGAAACGAGGCATTCCACCTAGGTCCTCACGGGTGACAACGCATCTACATTTTGTTTCGTAATTGCGGACAGATGAAGATGTCTCTGGGCCACAGCAACCACTTAACATCAGGTGGACTGTGGGCTCGTTTGTCACCCTATTCTATAAAAAAAGCCACTTCAATTTTTTATTTGTATTGATATACCTACTCTGCGAGCCGTGTTTTATTATCCTAGATTAGGTTTGTAGGATTAGCTTTACGCATAAAAAATAAGACATGAATTAATTACGAAAATTAGACCCAATATTCTGTTCAATGTGTTTTAATAAGAACATAGTTTATATGCAGTAGTTATGCCTTTGGACGCGTTTATTATTGTACTTCTTTGGTGTTATTTTGACTTTCCGAAGCTCCTTCAACAGTGACGCCACATTTTGCCACATTATACGATGAAAGGTCGTAGAAAGTCAGGAAAAATCTGTAATTTTTAATATATTTTCACTTTTTTTACTAAGCTAGGATTAGTTATACATTAAATACAGCCTATGTCAAAATATGAAAGTCATTGTATTAATTCGCAAAAAATAGGTTTTATTCATAGAAGTATGCAGGCACGTCTATAAAATACCGCTTAGGTCACGAGTAAAAAAGGTTTAACTTTAACAAAGCGTCGTATCGTTGGTATAGTGTGTGTTTCAACTGTCCTGGCCAAAATGGCCGCTTTGGCGCATACTGTCCAACCCTAAACGAGTGATTTATTGCCTACGTAGCGCGTTATTAAAATGCCAATATCTTAATAATTATGTATGGAAACTATAAAATAGTATGTTGTTACAATTAATGTTAAGTAAGCTAATAGAATATGTGTAAATGTGTACGTTCACCTATTTTATATTTCCTAAATTCCATGGTAAAAATGCTAGAAGGGATTTTTTCCAGTTGGTTGAATAAAAATGATAAAAAAATAACAATTATTTCAATAAATATTTATTTTATTTACAATAAGATAATACACTACAATAATTAATAAAAAAAAACACAACTAAGGGCCACTTAAGACGATCCGAAATAGGCACAAAAAAGGCACATTTTGTAATCCAATAGCGACAATTTCAAACCGAGATAAGTAGGTTAATGATATTAAAACAATGTTGTACGAGTTAGATGGAGATACGTATACTGGGTTATTATTACTGCGTTTAATCAAATAAAGAGTGATTGAGAAGTGATTTATAAGTGTCTTGGCACACTATATATAAAGATTCTTTCGGGAAAACTTAGCGTGACTTCAATCCAAACTCGGATGTAGAGGGATGGTGTAATGTAGTAAAAATTATTGCACAAAATAAACGCTTACATAGAAAATAATTTGATTTGTTAATAGCATTAACAATCGCTTTAAAAATCATGCAGCTAATTGTCTTAACGATCTTAAGTTTACTGAAATGGCATGCCCTTTAGTTAAGAAACCAGAATTAAGGAAACAGCATCTGGAATTGATTTTCCCTTATGATCCCTCATTGAGTAAAGCCCTAAAACAATCATGCCTGATGAGATAATTACTGGATTTGTTATTTCAGTTTTATGTTAAATAGCATAGGTACCAGCACACGGTAATGGAGAATCCTCACTGAGCACTCACGCCCAAGCTACCCTCCTCTTCCTGAGCGTGGGTACTCAAGCTGCCCGCGTTTTCTGGAGGAGAGGGGAGGAGCCAATTCCCACTCATTACTAGCTTTAAAATCATGGCGACTTCTGTTACGCTAGCCGTGGACTTCTGCACCATCAGCGACTTCACTTAAACCTTAATGCCATCCACTACCATCTGGAGATGCCACCCTTGGTTTTTTAATCGAGACGCAGGTGTCCTCCTTGGCTGATACTTCGTACCTGTCCTACCCGGGGTAAAATTAGATCACTGCTTTGTGCCCCGGGCTGGAGTATGCGTATACGTCAGAGAAGATTTCTGTTCATGACGCCTTGGAACTCTTAAAGGTACGGACCTGACTAATCTTTGGCTGCGCGTAGACAGCGATAAAAATCCCGTCTACAGGTGCCGTATAGGTCCCACAGCGGTAATGCCGACACAGACCGACACATCGACCACGTCAAAATGGCTACCTTGCTCCAACGGTATGGTCTTCGTCGTCGTCGTCTCTTGAGTATTATACATCTTCCTTGTTCTTCTGCCGATCTCTCATTTTTTTTGAATTTCCAACTGTTGTACATATTACTTACATCTAACACATGCCTCACACCTACAAATAACTATGTACTGCCAATTATAGGAGAGCACATCATTCTATAACAATAATAGTGTTTATGACTTACGTAGAGACAGGATCGATTTTTCTAAATGACCGCCAGAAGATAACCCAATATCACAGCGATGCAACTACTACGAAGGCTCCAGGAGGACCACCAGGTGCTGGTAAGCCACTAAACCGTGCGAAGGAAATTGCATTAAGTTCATCTTCATGCTCGGAGACCGCTACGTTTTGCAACATGGCAATTGCGGTCGGCGGCTTTCGTGCGCTCGGGAGCATTTACCATGGAGTGACGAACAATGATCCTTGGTGGTTCACCTATGACTCCGGTTTGAATTTCACTCGGATTCACGAAGAATACGCATTTGGAGCACTCCAGGGAGAGTGAAACAGCTACGGTACCCTCCGACGGTCCAATCATACCGAGGCAGGACAATCATGGTATGGGCGGATTCTTTTGGCAGACGAACCTAACTCGTTTGGATACCTACAAGATATCATGACTGCACAAAAATATCACGAATAGTTAATCACGGGCCAGAAATTTCTACTCATGCACCATAATGCATGAGTAGAAATATCCCATATCCCATTCCCGATTGAATTTTTGTTAGGGTGTTATAGACACTGGAAAAGTGCGCTGCGAATAAGTTACAAGTTTCTTTTAGTTCATTTGATTGTTTGTCTCCTAAATACATTAAAGGCGGGTATCCAGAAGAATTTGTACCTATTTCGTGTTCTAGAGTAGATATGTATTTGTCATAATATGTTTCTATAAGTTTTTCATAGTCGTACTATTCGTCGTCGTAACGTCTAAGGGATTGGATTATTATAGATCTTGTATAAAACTTCTTGTTTTGCCTTAACAGACAAATCAAATAGGAGTTGTACTGTTGCATGCCATAATTAATGCCTGATACACAGTGAGTTACCACCAGCGTCATCTAGTATCGAGTAGCAGAACTAGGAGAGCTTTCTAGAAAATTACATACTAGAACTTTCTACACCTAGTCAGTCGGGACCGGTGTACTCCATGTACTCGAACATTATAGATGTTTACGGCCCTATACACAAGGCCGGTAACGGTACGGAGGCAGTATTGAATTGGCGATTGGTGTTATTAGTGTGTTTTAAGTTGTGATTGGTGTTCGGTTATTAAAGTGTCAATTTGGGTAATTCAATCGGCAGTTTTTAATTGTCACGAACCCCAAGCTCGTAACAGTACTACGATGGGCGGCACTGAAAATTTCGGGAATCAAGGAAATGACACAACATTACCATTTAAAAATGTATTTATTGCTTTTCGAAGTATTCTCCGCGAAATTTGACACATATTTCCATACGATGCAACCAATCATTGAAGCAACCATTCCATTCTGAAGTTGGGGTCTCCAAAATGGCCGTTTTGCAGGCGTTCACAGCTTCTTCAGGTGATGAAAATTTCTGTCCACGCAATTTATTCTTTATTTTAGGGAAAGTATAGAAATCATTAGGGCTTAGGTCGGGGCTGTACGGCGGATGGTCTAATAATTCTATGTTTTCTTGCTCTAAAAACTCTTTTGTTCTGTGTGCGGTGTGAGAACTCGCATTGTCATGATGGAGGATGATGCGGCGTTTGCAGTTCTCTTTACGGAGTTCAGAAACGACCTGTGGCAAACAAATGGTAGCATACCATTTTGCATTAAACGTTATTTGTCCCTCAAGAGGAATAGTCGTAACATGGCCGGTTTTGGAGACAAACGTGGCCACCATTTTTTTTGCCACACTCCGTGAACGAACAATTTTTGGTGGCTTTAACTCATTTTCGAACACCCAAACTCGTGACTGGTTTTTTGTTTCGAGTTCGTATGCATATATCCAGGATTCGTCACCTAATACGATGTTGTATACAGCATATGATGATCCTGCGTGGAATCTTTCGAGAGTTCTGACGCACCAAGTAACGCGAGCTGCTTTTTGCTCTTCACAGAGCGAATGCGGTATCCATCGGGAAAACAACTTTTTTACACCCGATTGTTCATGCAAGATTATTTGTTTTGACTCATGCCAATGTCTAAAGTTGCCTGAATATCGCGGTATGTCACATGTCGATCTTCCTCAATAAGCTTACGCATAGCATCAACGTTTTCTTGGGTGACTGCAGTTTTTGGACAACCTTGACGGGGATCATCACTGAGCTTGACACGTCCACGTTGAAATTCAGCAAACCAGCGATAAATAGTGTTTTACGATGGGGCTTCATCACTAAATGCGGAAATCATCCGGTCAACACACTGTTTTTGTGTTAAACCACTTCGAAAGTCAAAGTAGATCATCGCTCTTGAATTTTCTCGAGTCAATTCCATTTTCTCAACGACTAAACAAGTTTGACAAAACCTTGTGACAAGACCGAGAATCTTTTTTTTAATAAATAAATGGTATTCGATTTTTAAAACCAATGAGTTTTAATTAAAAAGATTTTAATATGACAGGAACAGTGGAAATATTCCATTCCCGATACTTTTAGTGCAGCCTAGTATACCGCATGCCTATTGCCACAACTTTTACTTTTATTTACATAAAAAATTGTTATTTTATAAAGTATTAGGTAGAATTTATTAATCATGCCGTTAATATTATCATATTTTAAAAGTTCATCTATACACGAGATTTCGTCCAGAGCTTTAGTTATCTGATCGTAATCGCCTTTAAAATAGTTATTTTTTAGTAATTTCAGATGATAAGATTAAAAACTAAATGGAATTGCAATAGAAATCTCTAATGGTGGGTGGTGATTATCACCATTCCGTAAAGGGTTGGAACATTGATTAATTTTTACCATTTTAGAGTTAAATAAAACTAAGCTAAAAGTTTTTATTACTATTGTACACACAGCTATGTAGCTCCCAGTTTACATTTGAAATATTAAAGTCACCTGCTATTAACATTTGCTTTTTGTTATACTCATACATGATTTGATTTGTGTTATTTCTGAATGTTTAAATAAGTTTTTATTTAAGGGTGGTGGCAGGCACCCCACACAGATTTTAAGGAATTCGCATTTCTTACCTATAAAAATCTTAACCTTTACCCAGAGATCTTCGCATTCAGTATTGTAATAAGATATTCTGCAAGATGATAAATTGTTAAATACAGCTATAAGAACCCCGCCAATAAGTTTATTATTTGCACGATCCATTCTGTACACTGTATATCTGTTGTCAAAGATTAAAAAATATTAAACTGTGCAGTTTAACCACATTACTCTAAGGATGGCATAATGTCAAAAGTATTGTTTTGGGTTTTTAATCAAACTTCTCTTACATTATCTTAACTATCTTGATCTTGGACCTCGGACATTCTTGGTAATAACGTGATATATTATTGAATTTTGTGATAAGATAACCTACCTATTTGTATGAATTATTATAATAAATTTACTTTAATAAATTAGTGTTAATTTAGCTTAAATTGTTGAGAGATTGAATCCGATTAAATCCATATATACGAGTATCTATAGACCTTTTCTTTAGCTCTACACGGGTTGCCTCATGAAGAGACTTCATAGCCGGAGACAAATGTTCCATAACATAGATAAGTGTTCGTTATCCTGATATCCCTATATGATTTGAGCTAAGCTTTTTGTCTTTGTCTTTTTGTTTCGTATTAAAGACGATTGTCGATACGAGAAAACCATCTCGGACTATTGGGCTAGCAAACTTTACGAGAACTGAGCGTGATTTGAATTATTGTTATACTCTGTTACATTTGCAAATTATTCTGTAGGGGAAGAACCGCCTGCACAAATTTCTGTCGTTCTTGAATTATTTATTTAAGGTGAAATTCGATCTTATTGCAATTATTAAGGCGCTTAATTAGCGAAAAAAATATCAAAGACAAGGGCACAATCGCTGCGATGATTCAGAAAATCGATTCGTACGCGCTTCAGTCCTCGCTGGACAAAGCGAATGTAATAGTTTGTAATGTAGTAACAGTTTTAAATTATCTTCTTAATAACTTATAAATCGGGCACGTTTTCACTATACTTTTAACGTCAAATCAGCTTCAAGACATCCACAAGTCGAGTGAACCTGACGGAATCCCCCCAATTAATAAGGACGTGTGTTCCGTAGTTGGCACCGGTTCTAACGCGTCTTTTTCGATACTCCTACTTTCTAGGCATAGTCCCAAATTCGTGGGGGAAAGTTTTCGTTCACCTGATCCCTAAAAATGGTAACCGCTCTGATCTATCCAACTACAGGCCTATTGCCATCACCTCCCTTTTCTCGAAAATAATGGAGTCCATTATTAACTCCCAGCACATGCTCCAGTACGGTTTCCGTCGGAGCCGCTCAGCCACCGATGGGCGCAGATGGTCAAGTCAAAGGGGGAGGCCTTGACGGTTAGTTTGGAAATAGTGAAGGCCTTCGATGGGGTTTTTTCACAAACCACTTCCTTCTATGCTTCCTTCCTATGGGATTCACGAGAAATTCTGTAATTGGTTCACCAGATTTCTGGCAGATCGGAGCATTAAGGTCATAGTAGACGGTGCATGTTCCGATTAAAAGTATTAAAGCTGGTGTTCCATAAGGCTGCGTTCTATCACCAACGTTGTTTCTTCAGGATATTATTCATATGTTGCAAATCTTCAGTTTTAGGGAACTCCCCTTGTTGCCTTAGCCAGTATCCTAACCCTTGGCATCGAAATACCGAATGACGTGAGTTTCGTGGTCACTTGTAAGAGAAGGCCGAATTCGCCTCTAAAAGCTTGGCGTGCTCAGCAGAGAGAGACAGTATTTCATGCCAGCACACCGTCTGCGACTTTACAAGGTTCAGGTTCGGTCTCGCATGGATTACTGTTCCCGTATCTTGGACGGGGATCCACAGGGCTAGTTTCTTCCATTTGATCTCATCCAACGCACAGCGGTTCGAATTGACGGCGACCGAGCTCCGCGCTAAGTGACTTGCCTCACTAGCGTTGCGAGGAAATGTGGCATCCCTTTGCGTATTCTATCACATTTACCACGGGGAGTGCTCAGAGGATTTGTTTGGACTAATACCAGCCGCTCCACGGCACATCGCAACAAAACTTGCAATCCCACCCATAATACATCTAAAATCTGGGTGATGGTTCGTCACTGTTCAATATAAATGAAAAGTTTTCTTCCTCGCAGAATTTCGTTATAATTAACCAGCTTTTTTTTCAATTTTGGAACTTCAGGAAAAGAGTTCTCCTCTTTTTAACGCGATGCATCTGCAATTCGTCTTGGTGTTGCAGTTGTTCATGGGCGGCGGTAGTCACTTACCATCAGGTGAGCCGCATGCTCGTTTGCCCCCTCTCATATAATAAATGACCACCTACTGATACTATTTTAAGTCATTTCATTTCCTCCTAGCGTCTATTAGTTCTTAATAATTAATAACTGCATCTACAATAATAATTTATAAGATACTCTAGTCATACGATAATCAGTAGTCAGTCCAACGATTACAAACTCTTGATTTTGAATAATCAAATCTAGTCAATCGAAGGGGCACAAATTATTATCAGGTTTAGATTGCGTTATTTCTCGAAAGAATTGGCATTTACAGTTATCTCGAAATATAACAAATTATTTTCGTACGAATTTTCACGGCACTATCTCCCATTTGTATTTTAATTGAAATGCAATTTTATGAACCATCGTTATTAGAGGAATACGTTTTAGAGCTACAAGTATTTTAAATGAAAATTTATTTAATTTATTTTCACTATTTTCACTATGCAACGCTCAGGAACTTCTTGTCAACTAAAATATATAATAGTTATCGTCAATTTTATTTGTCATTTCTCAATTGATATTGTTCACTAAAACCATTTAATTTATTTAACTTGCTGCGAAATTTTATGTATCCCCTCAAAATCGTATTTCTAGTGGGACTTTATATATGAAATTAGCGTTTTGTCGTATTGACCACTTTGATCTGAAATATCTCCGCTTTGGTTAAGAATTCCAAATTCAAATTTATAAATTTATTTAATTGTACATTTGAGTTTTGAAAACAGTCATTCATTTGTTTTTTCATTATTTTTTTCTTTGGCGTCGCTTATTAGCGCACAATGGAAAACATGAAATATCGGTATATTTACGAGTACGAGTTCAACCGTGGCACCAGTGCTGCAGAAACAGTTAGGTCTGTCTGTCTGTGTCAGAACAGGTCTTTCATCGTGATAACGCCAGACCAAAACATCTATGGCCCCTCAATAAAAATTAAGAGAGCTTGGTTGGGAAGTGTTAGTGCATACAGACCTTACACCCTCAGGTTATTACCTATTTCGGTCTCTTCAGATTTGTTTTGGTACTGTTAGAATAACATCAAGAGAGGACTGTTAAAACTACTTGTCGAATAATAATTTCTACAGCAACGGGATCATGTCACTACTCACGAGATGGCAACAAGTTATTGAACAAAATATCGCAAATTATCGAACAATTGAATAAAAAATGTCTTAAATTTGTGTTTAAAATACCAAGAAACTTTTTACCCGACCTATGTATATATCATGTTAAACACATCCATGTATATCAGCAAATTCCGTAAATGGTACAATTTATAATTAAAACTAATACAAAGTAGACTTGCAACCAATAGTATATTGGACCACACGTTGAATACCGATTATTTGGTGGACTTCCTGGCCGAAAAGTAAATGTTAGGAAAAAGTATTCGGCGGGGAAGGAAGCACTGTTTTTCTTTATTCAAAGCGTCTATTTTCAGAAGTTGGGATTGTCTACATCAACTATGTCAGAATGCAGAAAATATAGTCTTTCAGCACTTCTTATTTAATCAAGTTCTGATACTTTATTGTCATTTCATACGTGATTATTTACCTGTGACTACTAATAATAAAATACATGATTATCAAATAAATCAATTTTTCATACTATCTGATTACAACAAAACATCTTAGTATTTGGTATTCGACCGAATAGTATCCAGATATTCGTGTAAGTCTAATACAAAGTAATAATATTTTATAAACAAGTGTTAAATCACATTTCAATTTATAAATATTACCTGTCACGATGTACACCTATTTCTTTTTCCATAAAATCGGATAGTTCTTTCGCGATTACTCTGTTTTCATTCGGTCCCAAATTCCCAATTGACTCCAATGTAGCAGTGGCACCCGGAGATTTTGATTCACCAGCGAAGGATATGTAGCAGTCTCCGGATATCACGCATGTAAATTTCTGCATAAAAATTTATTTAAAGTTTTATCTTTATTAGGTTCTTATTAACTAACTAAAGTAAAGTTATTTTTATATTTGCATGAAGATATATGACCTCAAAATTTTCAGATTTTCATATAAACACAAACACAACAATAGCAATGCAAGGTTTCCACCATGTAAATATGACTTCGACCATATAGTGCAGTTTGAGAATGTTCACTACCCGATATCGCCCCGTGGGTGTCGTAAGAGGCGACAGAGGAAAAAAAACGAGGAGGTGGACAACAGCGTCTCCTTAATAAAAACTAAAAATTCCTGCAGTTTCCAAACCATTTGCCAGGCGTGGTTACCATAATGACAATGTTCTCCATAGCAATTTTTTGGAGACGTATGTTCAGCGGTGAACTAGGCTGTAATTAATGAAATGTGACTTTAATCAGATTTATAGTTAGGTTTTGTAAGGTTTAATTAGTTTTTTATTGACTGTAAAGAACATTTTTTATAGGAAATGGGTGGTAAATGGTTGCTGTGGCCCATAGACATCTACACCTATCCTCGTTTGCAAATCAAAGTGAAGATGCGTTGTCAGCCTTGAGAACTAAGATGGAATGCCTCTTTTCCAGTAAAAAGGGTCTCCAGTTCTCTACACTCACCATACGAAACACAGCAGCATTAAGCTGCTATTTGTCGCTGGTATTCTGTGAGAGCGTGGTCCTTCCCCGGTCGAGCCGACCCATTCGTGCTACAACTATACAATGTATATCGCTGCAGCATGGCTCTACCACGTCAAAAACATTACGAGAAGCCCTGGCATTTTAAGAAACAAAAATTAGATGTCAGAAACAGACTTTACCCACTACGTTATCCAGTGGTTCTTATAAGAGCCAGGTTTGGGTAATCCTCGAGAGCTGTTTTAAAACTTCGATAGAATAACGCTATTATTATTTCGTAAATATATTGGACGTAGGTAGGGCAGGTTAGCTAGTAGCAAAGGTGTGAAACATGAGGTAATACGATCGCCAATCTGTTTGCAAGTTGTAGTGGCATTTTTTTAACGTTTGAAGTCTAAACTTCTAAGGGTTGATGAATTCAGTGAGATATTTGCACATGTATATAAAAAAACTGTTTATTTTTAATTAGATTTTGATTCCAAAAATAATTAAAGATCTTTGGTTAATATAATTTTTTCTGGTTGATTTTTGCTTCAGGTTGATTTTGGAAAAAATATTAATGAAATTAATTATAACCTGACTGATAATAAAAGTGATAAAATTCAACTATTTTATTTTATTCATATAATAGTGATTTTTAATTTGCTGATTTTATTTACGAATAACTTTTGATGAGTTATAGTTAAGTGGCGCAAATTTATTAATGAGTAGTAATTTGCTATTCTTTCCGTACAGGCGTTAAACTACTACTAACAGTGATCGAAATTTTAACGTAATTCATCTCTATTTCACTTTCACTTGCCCATTAAAATATCAAAAAACTTATCTAATACACTAAATATAAAGTT